TTGGGTGAGGCCAGAAAGTTTTGCTCGAGCCAGGGGCGCGGTCAGAGCGTTGGCGGGGAAGCCGGCTGGCGAGCCAGAACCGTGGCTGAGGCTGGGGATGCCGGGCCGGGGAGACCTGGTATTGACGCGACGGGGTTCGGGCGCGAGCCAGGGGGCGTGGCCAGAAGGTTGGCTGCTAAATCGGAGGCGGGGCCAGAACGTAATAACGCGAGGAGGAGGGGCGTGTTCCAGCTTTTGCCTGGGGAGCCGGGGGGCGGGGCAAGAGGGTTGGCTGGGAAAGGCCGGAGCGGGGCCAGATCAATGACGCGGGCCTGTGGGCGGGGCCAGAAAGTTCATCCCGGCAGGGGGCGGGGCCGTGGTGTTCCGGCTCGGGTCGAGGCTGGGGCTTTTCGCTGGAAATCCGCGGGTGGTCCGGGAAGTTTTGTCCGCGTCGGGGAGGGGAGAATATTCACTGTGGAGGTCGGGTCTGGCCCAAGAAGTCTCGCCAGTGGGTACCTGGCCTGTTCTGGGAATCTTTGCGGGGAGGCAGCGGCACCTTTCTTGGGACGGTAGGGCCGGGGCTAGGACATCCTGAGGGAGGCATGAGAGAGGGTCGAGGCAGCCTGTAGGAGCATTTTTTGAGTGTGGGGTTATGGGACTTTTCGGAAACTTTCTGGGAAAGAGGAGAATCTGGAATGTTCATAGGGATGTGATCGGCACCAGAACGGGCACAGGAAGATGGGCCTAGATCTTTCTTGAGATGGAAGATTCTCAGCACTAGGGTGTGGAGGCCGGACTAGAGGATCGCTTGGAGGGGAGCCGTGTTAGATGGTTTCATAAGCCGTGGTGTGGGGCCAGAACTTTCCCAAGGTGGCTGTGACTCCAGTATTTACATGTTATGGGTGAGTCCAAATATTTACAAGAGGTGGAGCCTAAATTTTTCCTGGTAAGGGACGGGCTAATATTTCAAGAAGAGGTTATGAGAGGGTTAGAATTCGCTTGGATTTGGGTGTTTTTGAGTGTGTGTATGTATGAGAGTGGGGCCCCCAGTATGGGGGAGTAGGAAGCAGATTGGGGGCAGCACTGGCCTTAGTCTTTCTGTTCCCTCTGCCCTCAGGAACCCCCAGTGCTGTGTCCAGATTCTGCAGGGGAGGGTCACTGGGACTGTGGCCCTACCAAGCTAGTGGAATGGTGAGATGGAAAAACGGGGTCTCGAATCTGAGCTTTGGGGTGGGGGGCTTGAGAGGAGAGAATGCCACTCTCTCCTCTGGATTGAATGGCACTGGGGTGGGTATAGGTTTTTCTTACTGTCTCTCAACTGTCTCTTCCTCTTAGTCAGCCACGCTGGATCTGAAATCGAAGGAAGAGAAGGATGCCGAGTTGGACAAGAGGATCGAGGCTCTTCGGCGGAAGAATGAGGCCCTCATCCGGCGCTACCAGGTGCCCTAGCCCCGCCCTGGGAGACCCCACCCCCTCTCCTCCCCGCAGTGAGTTTCTCTCACTTCTCCCTTCCTTAAACCTTTTCATGGCGTCCCTTCACTCTCAGGATAACAGCCAAAGGTCTTAGCGTGGCATCCCGCCCATCACGCCCTCACTTCATCATTTATTCACGAGTATTCATAAAGGTCTCTACCAGACCAAGCCCTGTGCTGAATGGCGCTGGGGAAGTAACTGTGACCGAGACAGCCCTAGGCTTGCCCTTCCAGGGTGGACAGTCCAGTGTGGACACAGATGTGACTTAAGTTAGTGAGGACTCAGGCTGGGCACGGCTGGGACTGGGGAGTTCAGGGGTCTGTGGGAACTCAGAGGGGGCTGTTCCCTCAGCCTGAGGGATATTAGGGAGGGCTTCCTGGAGGAGGAGATTCTGAAACCTGAAGGGTGAGAAGATGTCAGCCAATTGAAAAGTAGAGTAGAACATATTTCAAGCAGAGGGAACAGTTTGTGCAAAAACTTGGAGCTTAAAGTTGGAGGATCAGTTGGGGGATATTGATCTGGAGAGGTCAGTAGGGGCCAGGTGAAGAGTTTAGACTTTTTCTTGGTGCTGGGGCGCCATGGAGGGCTGTGAGCGGGAGTGGAACCAAGTCAGTAGTTTTTCAGGAAGACCCCTCTGGCTGCTGCGTGGTGGTGTATGGGAGGAGGCGACATTGGAGGTCAGAGATCAAAGAGGAAGCTGAGGCAGGGACCTCGGGGATGGGGGAGGAGGTGCCTGGCATGGGACAGGGCTGTTGGAAGGGACTCAGTGACTGATGGGCAGTGGTAGGAGGTGGGGAGGAGGAGGGAGGGTCCAGGATGAGGCCTGGGTCCCTGTTAAAGGTGACAGAGTAAGCTGTCTGTGAGAGGGGACCTGAGAGGAGTAGGTTTCATTTATTCATTCTTCATGGTTTCATTCATTTAAAAAAAAGCGTACTGAGTTTCTGTTGCGTGCCAGGCAGCGTTCTCAGCTCGGGGTATACATCAGTGAACAAAAAGACAGCTACCCCTGTTTTGGGACAGATTCTTTTGGGGCGGGAGGGGCGGGATAACATTCACATATTGCCAGGTATGAACAGGGGAAAGGGTAGGAGAATGGCAGGGAAGCTGGTCAGGGAAGACCCCCAGAAAAGGGGACATTTAGGCAGAGACCTGTAGGAGGTGAGTGACTGATGGGTCTCTGCGGGAAGAGTTTTCCCACCTAAGGAATAGCAGGTGCAAAGGCCCTGAGTCAGGTCTGAGCCTGCTATGTCCTAGGAAGAGCTGGGGAGCAAGTTGGAGGTGAGGTCAGGGCGGTACGGAGGCCAGGCCCTGTAGGGCCCTGTACAATGTGCGGGAGCCTGTGGCTCTTACCCAGAGGTGGGCACTGCATGACAGTTCCAAGCAGGGGAGCAGCAGGACGCAGTTTGGGGGGAAGATGCCGAAGTGGTGGGTTTTCTTTTCTAGGGCTCAGCAGAGAGGCCTGGGCTGGGGCCAGACTTGGGGGAAATTCGGGGGGCTCTGAGAGTGCAGCGGCACACAGGACCCCGGCACTCACCTGCCTCTGACGTTTGCTCCTAGGAGATTGAAGAGGACCGTAAAAAAGCTGAACTCGAGGGTGTAGCTGTGACAGCTCCCCGGAAGGGCCGCTTGTTGGAGAAGGAGAATGTGGCAGTTGAGGTGGTGAGTGCCACACCAAGGTAGGGGACGCCTGAGGACAGGGAAGGGCCTTCCCAGCTGCCCCAGACCTGTGGATGGCCTCCACCCTGGCCACTTCCCCTGGACCGGGGCCAGCCCCGTCTCCCTGCCCCAGTGACTGGACTTTTCCTCCCTTCCTCTTTCCAGGAGAAGAACCACGGTCCCTCCAGGAGGTCTCCTGGGACCCCTCGGCCCCCAGGGGCCAGCAGAGGAGGCCGGGCTGCCCCTCAGCAGGGAGGCCGGGCAGGCGTGGGCCGGACATCCCGCAGCTGGGAGGACAGTCCTGGGGAGCAGCCTCGAGGAGGGGCTGGGGGCCGCGGCCGGAGGGGCCGGGGCAGGGGGTCCCCTCATCTCTCTGGAGCTGGAGATGCCTCAACTGCCGATCGCAGATCCAAGGTAAGAGCCAAGAAGGGGCCGCAGGCCTTGGCTGGGGCTCTCCGTTGTCACCCGTCTCCTCCTCCTCTCAGATGGGCCGTTCGCCCCTTTGTCCATCTCTTTTTCTGTTTCTCTTTCAGCCCCTCCGTCTGGCTCTTTCTCTCTTCCTGACCAGTGCTGCGTATACTCTGTCTTTCTGCCTGCCCTTTCTTTGTTTTCGTTTGGAGCACGCTTGCCCACCCGCCTTCCCTCGCCTGTCTCTTTCCTCTCTTTCTGGCACTGTCTTTCTGTCTCTGGGGCACTCTGTCCAGTGCATGTGTGTGGTCTGTCTCTCTCCCCCTCTCTCTCCCTCCCTGGATTTGTTCGTGACGAGCACTGGTGTTTTTATTATGATAGCTTCCACCACCCCAGCACGCAGGTTAGCAGGGGAGGGGCCCCCTAGCATAGTGGTTCAGAGCCCCCCCAGGGTGACTTGGGGTCACCCTGGTTCTGTTAGTTCCCCGTCCTTGGGCAGCTCACTTCCTGTTGGGGAGCACCCAGTACTCTGGTTTAGAGGTCATCGCGAACATTGTGTGGCATCAGGCATTGAAACCCTCTGGGGAAGCAGTCAGCGAGTGCGACAGGCAGCTGCTGTAACAAAACCACCTCAGAATCCCATGGCTTAAGTCAAGTGGAAGCTTCTCTCTCTCCTGTAAGCCGAGCCCTCTAGCAGCTTGGACACGTGTTGGTGTAAAATCTGTTACCGTGGAGGAGGGGGAAGATGGATCGTGGAGGTCACCTAGCCATCCGCCAAGTTATTACTGTTACTGTTGTCGTCGTTACTGTGGCATTCCTCTCTTTCCTCTATTGCACGTTGGGGTCCCCAACCCCTCTCCCAGGTCCGGTGTTTTTCTAGAAAGATTCCCAGCTAAGATTTATTACAGTGAGGGAATACAAAGCAAAATGAGCAAAGGGCAGAGGCACGTGGGCTGACGTCCGGAGACCAGTGTGCGTCTCCAGGAGCCCTTGCCCAGTGGGATCCCAGGCTGCACTTAATGTGTCCAGCATCGAGTTGTGACAATGTATGTGAAGGGTCATCTATCAGGGATGCAGTAGAGGTCTAGTGCCGGGGGTTTTTAACCCAGTAGGTCCCCTCTGCCGGGTACATACCCAAAACCTGACCCCAGAAGGAAAGCAGGTGGGCAGTGTACACTGTGCTGTTGGCACAAACCGTCCAGGCACAGTGAGCGCTGGTGACCAGGTAACCGTTGACGGGGAACACAGCGGGAGTCAAGTCCCCAGCCGCCAGCCGCGGGCGGGCCTTGAAGGCAGACCTGTCTGAGGGGCGCGCAGGCCTGCCCCTGCGGCTCTTCCGCACAGAAGGGGGCGTGGTCCTCCCTGCTGCCCCGAGGTCCCTGTCTGTCCCCCCAGGAGTGGGAGGAGCGGCGCAGGCAGAACATCGAGAAGATGAACGAGGAGATGGAGAAGATCGCGGAGTATGAGCGCAACCAGCGGGTCAGTGCGGGCGCGTCCCCTGTGTGGGCCAGAGCCACCCGGCCCGGCCCGGCCGCCTGCCCGCCAACCGCCGCCCGTCGTGCCCACAGGAAGGCGTGCTGGAGCCCAACCCCGTGCGGAACTTCCTGGACGACCCCCGGCGGCGCGGCGGGCCCCTGGAGGAGCCGGAGAGGGACCGGCGGGAGGGCAGCCGCCGGCACGGGCGCAACTGGGGCGGCCCCGACTTCGAGCGCGTGCGCTGCGGCCTTGAGCAGGAGCGGCAGGTGGGTGCGCGCGGTGGGGCACCCTGGGCCAGGCGTCCTGCAGCCGGCTTCTCCCTTGGGCAGCGTGCGTTCCTGGGGGCGCTGAGCGCCAGACACGGCGGTGAGAGAGGCGGACCAGGGCGAGGCGGAGCCTGTCCTTTACCCCCAGACTAGCCGTGGGTTCCAGTGCCAGTCGGCGGCGTCCCCTGGTTCCTAATATTAGTAATGTTTACTGGGCACCGACTAGGTGCTGGAGTGTAGGGTGGTAAACAAGGCAACCCCTCTGTCCCAACGAAGTTTATTCTCATGGGAGCTAAATAAAAGAATACGTAATAAGACGTCGGGTAAGGGCACATGTGAAGGAAAACCAGCAGTATGAGGGCAGAGGACAGGCAGGCCCGCTGCTTAGAGATGTGGGCGGGCCTGTCTGGGGTGCCACCTGAGCGGGCCTGGTTCTGCTCTCCGCCCTGTCTCCTCGCGTGACTTTGAGGCCCTGGCTGGTGTGAGCTTGGAGGGCGTGGGTGGGGCGCGGCGTGGAGCAGGTCCCTGACAGCCGATCTGCCGGGGCACAGGGCCGCCGTGCTGGCCCGGGCAGTGCTGGGGACATGACGCTGTCTATGACCGGCCGGGAGCGGTCCGAGTACTTGCGCTGGAAGCAGGAGCGGGAGAAGATCGACCAGGAGCGGCTGCAGAGACACCGCAAGCCCACCGGCCAGTGGCGGCGGGAGTGGGACGCCGAGAAGACCGATGGCATGTGAGTCTCCTCCCTGCTCGCCCGCTTGGCTCCGTGGCCTTGGCCCTGGCTTCCGACTCCTTCGACTTGCTCTGGCTTCTCACCCTGTAAGCAGTTAGCAGTCACGACGGCAGTGCTGTGTGTCCCCCGCATCTCAGTGACATACAAAAGAATTTCTTTCTCGTGTTTACAGGGCAGCTGGGTTCGGCTAACCCAGGCCGGACTTTCAGCCGTGAGTCCGGCTGGGGTTGGCTTCTCGATGTGGGTTGAACTCAATTCTGCTCCATGTGTGTGCATTCTGGTGCCCAGGCTGAGGAGGCAGCCACCTGGGGAAGCGCTGGTCTTGGCATTGGCAGATGTGCAGTGGGGGAGTGGACACACTTCCCATTCTGTTGGCCGACAGACCCAGCGCTGCGGGGCAGGAACTTAAACTGCCTGCCCTAGTGGGCGATGTTGCAGCGGCTCCGGGCTAAAGGCGTGGATATAAGTTCTCACGCAGCGAGGGCTGGAAGAGTCGCTGATGACACCTTCGCGCCCTCCTTTCGTCCCTCTCACCTGTCCCTCACTGATGCAAGCCCCTTATCTCGGTGGCATTGTCATCTTCAAATCAGACTCTGTCCTCTTTCGGGTCTAGGAAAAATCTAGCCAGTCAGAATTCAAGCAGAGGCGTCTTAAGTCATTGACGGGACGACTAACTTCCATACCAAAGATGGAGAAGTTTCTGAGAGTTGACGAGTGGCAGTCTTAAGATCAGCAGCCGTAGGTTTTACACCGTCCTCTGTCCTTTGCTGCATTGGAAGATTTCACGCTTAAGCTTATGTTGACACTGGTTAAAGAACGAGAATCTTGTCTGTGTGCCTGCTGGTCAGAGCATTGATTTTTGAACTTTGAGCTGATGTGCGTGAGAAGTATTTTGCTGCCGCTGCTGTTTCTAAGGTGTAGGCAGCTCGGCTTTGGGGAGATGTTCTCCAGGTTAGAAACGAGAAATGGATTTTTTTCTTGTGTCCCCTGAAGCAGCCCACAGCACGTCTCATTAACGCACGTGTGCATTGATTTTGTCAGCAGATAACCGAGTCCCTCCTGTATGTCATGGAAGGTTCTAGGTGATGGGGACACAGCAGTGAATAAAACGGTCTACCTTCATGGAACTTAGAGTCCGGTGGGAAAGATGGGCCGTGACTAGATCTAATGCCAGGTTGTGAAGAGTAACGAGACAGTACGCAGAGAGATGGAGGCTGTCGTTTTAGACTTAGGTAATATATATAATACGATTATTTTAGATGGGGCTTAAGAAGGTCTCTGAGCTGAGGCCCAAAGGAGGTGAGGGAACGGGCCACTGAAACATCTGGAGGAGCGTGTCCCCAGCAGCAGCAGGTGCAAAGGTCCTGAGGCAGGGGCGTCCTGTGGTGGGAGAACCCGCTTAGCTGGGGAGATGAGAGAATAATAGGACAGGAGGCCAGAGCGGAAGCCGGGGTTCATGTACTTTTCCAGTTTTTGTTCCGGGGGATCAAATACGGAACTTTTTTTTAACGTATTTGTCGGTATGATGTCAGATTCGCCTCTTGTCCATCACCTGGTCCATCCCCCTTCTAATCAGTGACCCCCCACCTCTCCGCTGAACATCCCTCCTACGATCTTGGTTTCCGACTCTGGCTCCAGTCTCCCCCTTACCTCTTCCCACCGCTCTTGCTCCCACTGTTCTCTCAGCTACCCGTTCACCCCTTTTCCCTCTCCCCAGGTTCAAGGATGGCCCAGCTGTTGCCCTTGAACCATCCCATCGCTATGGTGAGTGGGTGTCCCCGGGTGGGGGAGGCAGCTGCCTGCGCTAGGCTTGTGGGGTGTTTGTGCCATGACCCCCATTCCTGACCCCTCCTGGGTTTCGTTGCAGATGATCAGTCCTGGACCCGGCCCCCCAAGCCTCCCACTTTCAGGGAGTTCCTGTCCCAGCACAAAGCTGAGGTCAGCCGCAGGAAAAGGAAGAGCAGCCGACCCCAGGCCAAGGCAGCGCCCCGAGCCTACAGGTGGGGACCCCCTTCCCCGGGCATATGCATACCCCGCAGTGGGGCTGTGTGGCCCTCTCCCTGGTCATTCTCTGACTTGTGTATTTGTGGGTATGTCTGTCTCTCCAGGCACTTGCCTCTCCATGGGTCAGACGCTTGGTTTGGGGGCTTAGGGCCTGGCTCTCCACTTTACCGTTTGCCCCCATCCCTTCCCGTCACCTCTTCACTGTCGCCTGTTCCACCGTTTCCTCCTGAGTGCCCCAGCACGCCAGATCCTCCTCTGCCAACCCTGTAGCCCCTTTCTGCCCCTGTTCTCTGGGGAGGAGCCAGTGGTGGGAAGCCCCTTTCTCCTCCGCCCCCAGAACTTCCTCCTCCTGTCTGTCCTCTCCAGTGACCACGATGACCGCTGGGAGACGAAGGAGGCAGCGGCCCCAGCCCCTGAAGCCCCACAGCCCACTCCCCCTGAGGAGACAACCACAAAGGTAAGATGGGCTGTCATCTCTGGGCAGGGGGCGTGGGGTGCTCAGGGCCCTACCCTCTCTCCTACCTGCCTGTGTTCCCCACAGCCACCCGCGACCCCAGCCCCTGTCCACCGGCCTCCTGAGGATCAGGGGGAGGAGGACGATGGCGGGGAGGACGAAGGGGAAGAAGACGAGGGGGAGGATGAGGAATGGGAAGACGTGAGTGGGGACGAGGAGGTGGTTGAGGAGGAAGAAGAGGCTGATGAGGAAGAGGAGGAAGAACCAGCCCAAGACCAGGAACCCCAAGAGCTGGAGCCCACTGGGAGGAGCCCCAGCAGTGAGCAGGCCGACAAAGAGCCTTCTGGGCCCGAGGAGCCCCCGCCGCTTCCCCAGGCCCCTGCCTCGCCTTCCAGCCCCTTCTCGCCCCCTGGGGGCCACCAGCCTGTGTCCGACTGGGGTGAAGAGATGGAGCTGAATTCTCCCCGGACCGCCCACCCGGCTGATGCCCTATCTCCGGGTGAGGCCTGGCCTTTTGAAAATGCATGAAGCTGGCTGCTTGTGTGTGTATTCGAGGGGTGCATGGGCAGGGGCACCCTCAGGGGCTGGGCCCCGGGACCCCATGTGCCCCACTGCCCTGGCAGCTAGGGAGGACAGTCCGTGCCCTTCTGTGTGCTGTCCGTGCCTCTGGAATGTCCACCCCCAGATCCTGCCCCTGCTCTGGGCCATTCAGAGTCCCCTTCCCAATAAAAAGTTCACATCCTCAAATGACAACCCCAGGTGTGTCCTTGAACCCTCCCTTCCCACTTCCCCAGAGTCTTCTGTCTTTGGGTGGAGGGCTGTTTGGACAGGAGGGGCTTGACTGAGTCACCCCTTCCCCAGGAGGTGACCAGCCAGTCCTTGCCTCCCTGGAGAGTGGGCCCAGCATCCCAGGAACCCAGAAAGCCGAAGAGGAGGGGTCTGAGGCAGCTCCAGGTGGGGGAGCTGATGGGCCCATGGAGGGGTCTGCCTGTCTTCCTCTTCCTCTGGGGCTGAGGGGAGGTGGCCCCAGGGGTGTGGGATGGAGTGGAGCTGTGGCTCCACCACGGGTGGGTTGGGGAGCAGCTGGACCTGGGGGTGAGGTTGGAATGCTGGGATAGCGTGGGAGTGGAGCCAGGTCAGGGGGAGAGCTAAGGAAAGGACTTCTGGCGTCAAGCAACTGGGCATTGAGTGTGTGCACTGGCCTGGGGTGAGGAGGTGGAGCCAGGACGGGATTAGGATTCAGAAATGGATCCCAGGGGTTTAAGAAAGTAATCCGAAGGTAAAGGGGTGGGGCCAGATCCAAGGGGAGGGGCTAAAGGCCGGATTAGAAATTTAAATAGGTCAAAAGAATGGGGAGGGGCAGAGTAATGCATCAGCCGCATTTGAGTTTTGAGGTGTAACCGAGTTGGGTAAATTAGAATAGAAATGCAGACCCGCTTAGAATGTGGGGTCCAATGTAGTAGGAACGAGAGGCTGAACCCCATCTGTCCGCGGCCACCGGCTGGAAGCCAGGCTGTGAAACGGGCATCTCCCCCAGAAGTGGAATTAAGATTTGCGGGCAGAGCCAGGGAGGCCTGGTTACAGCCCAAGAAGCAGGCAAGGGCGAGGGAGGACACGTCCTGTGGGGCAGTCGTGATGGGGGTCGGTTTAGGCCCCTGAGGTGGTGGGCTGGGGTCGAAGCGGCCAGTTTAGGATGGTGGATGAGGCCAGGGTGCCTAAGCACTCTGTCTTAGGCCACGTGTTGGCCGAGTGACTGATCTCGCTATACCAGATTATCTTCTCGGTTGTAAACAGTTCTGTTGGGGCGCATCCTGTTTCGTGAGTCCACTGCGAGGATTAAAGGAGCCTGAGGCCCATAAACCACTTAGCAAGGGGCAGCTGTAGCCAGGCGCAATCGGGATGAGGGGCGGGGTTCGACGGCGGTGTCCGGGGGGAGGGAGGCAGGGACTGTTCCCCTCCGCTGACCGCCCCTTCTCTCCCCAGAGGCGGGCCCCGAGGGCCAGGAGACGGCGGAGATCACCGACTTCCAGAGGGTGCGTTTCTGCAAGGTGGTGGCAGCTGCTCCACAACCGGGGGCCGCCCGCTGACCGCGCCCGCCGACTCTGCACTAACTTCCCGCCGCCTCGCTCCTCTGCCCTCTGCTTCCGCCACACTCCAGCCAGGAGAGGGTTAAATGTAAGGGGGGAGGAGCCAAGGACAGCCAACGGGGTGGGGCCAGGGCAATAGACCGGTCTCACAAGTGGGGGGCGCCCTGGCACCGGAACTGCTGGGACACACCCGAGTTACCCACCTATGGAGGCCATGGGGGGTAGGTGCCAGTCCCCGGGCGGAGTTTCCCGCCTTCAGAAGCTTACATCTGGGGCATGGCAACTAGCTGGTGACTCTTCTGAAGGACCCGAAGTACGCGGCCACCGGCCCCGTCTCTATTAAACGCAGCGCTTTCGCTAACCTTTGAACTGTGTTTCTGGCGGGGCAGGCTGGGTTGCTGTGCTTGGCAGGCTTTTCCGTGGCGGAAGAGGCGGGAGGAAAGGGTCTTCCTCCGCCTACCCTGATATGTCTTCCCTCCCCCCCTCCCGCAGGCCTCCCCGAATTCCTGAAGACGCTGCTGGGAGGGGACTGACGCTTCCCCGCATTGATGGGGAGGGGGCGGTAGGAGGGGGAGTCTGGCTCTCCAGGCTGTGCTCTCTCCTCCCTGGAGCCCACTCTGGACCCCCCCATGGCTTAGGGAAAGGGAGACATCGAGGGTGGTGGGCGAGCGACGAGCTGGGGAAGGGGCGTGATTGGGGTGTAGGGTGCAGCTGGAACTTCGCGGCGTGAGCTTAGATCTCGAGTCACAAAGGCTGGAGGAGGAGCCTGGTCCCATGGGGGGCGTGGTTAGGGCTCCTGGGCGGGGCCGGAATGCTGGTGAGCGGAGTTAGAACGGGACAGCGTTAGGGAAAGGGCTGGGGCCACGAGAGCCGGTTGAGGTGGGAGTTCGAACGCCGGTTTGGGGTGCAGCCACCCGCGGAGGAGTGGTTAGGGTTCAGTGCTGGAACGAGCGGAGTGAGGACGATGAGAGGGGTGGAGCCAGGGGGAGAAGAGGGCGGAATCGAATGGGGCGGAACTGCGCCTGAGGGGCGGGGCTTGAGCCTGAGCCTGGCTGGGGCGTGGCTAGGTGCCTGGAAGAAGTCTGAGTCCAAAAAGGGGATGGGGTTAGGGCGCAGGGAGGAGGCCCCCAAAAGAGGAGACTGGAGCTAAGCGCTGTGGCGGGCTCGCATTTAAGAGGCGCGGGTATGATACCGAAGCCTGGCAGTAGTCGGCTGGGTCGAGATCTTCATTTTAGAAAAAAAGTAGGTATTGGAAGCCTGGGGCCGGCGGAGCTCAGTAGGGACGGGATGGGAGCATCGATTAAGCTTCAGCTTGGGATGGTTGGCCGGAGGCTGAGGGGGGCCCAGGATGCGGGGGCGGGGGCGCGGCTGGGTCGGGGACTTTCGGAGCGCGGA